ATGTCGAGTTGTTATGATAATTTTACTTCCTGGATGAAGCCACTCTCGCATTCCAAGAATTGCATTGAGTTGATCTCGGTTGCTCACATCATCAAGAACAATAAGAACTTTTTTATAGCCCACGGCTTGTTTGATCCTGATTGTTCCTTCATCCGTATTGTATACTTTCTTTGCTTTCCCCTTTTGGATATCTGAAAGAAGTTTTCTTTGCAAGCCAACAAAACCATGTTCTGAAGATTCTCGTATATCTGCAAGAAAGCTGCTACCTTGAAATCTACCAAAGTTAAGGTTATAAGCGGCCTTCGCGATAGTGCTCTTGCCAATTCCACCCATCCCACAGATGACAGCTACACCAACATCATTTGATTCATCTTGTAACCACATGTTTAGGCGTTGCACACGATAATCCATTCCAACTGAAAAGGCAGCGACGTCTAAAGCTGCGTGATCCAGTTCATTTCTAATCTCTTCAACAATATCTTGGATGAACTGCCCCTCATACCTATAATTCATTTAATTGAAATATATGACGCAGAAATAAGCATGAGAACAAATAAAACCAAAATCGATAGGAAAATATAAACCAAAATTGAACAACTTCAAGCTTCACTACCATCTACAATTTTACTTGAGGTTTTTTAGCCAAAATACACAACTCCTTACTTTGGTCCCAACATTTGAAATCGATAGAATTGGTCCCGAGTTTGTCCATATTTTGATCATTTATTGAAAAATCTCCATAAAATAAGGATGAAATGATAAAAATACCCTCAATTTGGTCAAATCATTTTGGCCTATTGTTTATTAAATTGAGGATAATTTTATTATTTTGATCCTTATTTAACTTAATTTTTCACCCATGGATCAAAATGATTGATGATAGACAATCTCAGGGACTCCTTATATTGATTTTAAATCTCATGGACTAAAGTGATGAGTTATGCAAATCTCAAGATCATTTTGGCTAAACAAAACCTTTTACTTAATTTAAAAAGGGGTTTTTCTTTAACTCTAATCTTCAAGAAGATTGAAATTTAAAATAAACCTGATGTTAGATTACATATTGATTATAATCCCTTAATGTATCCTTAATTCAAAATAGTTAATGTGCATTTTATTTAATGTCTCCTATTAAATATTTAAATTTATTATTATACAAAATTTTAATTTATTTTTTGACCAAAAAAGGGTTTTTTTTTTTTTAATTTATTAATTTTATTTAGCATTCTTAAAACTTGAAAGACTCAATTAATGTAACTAAATGTTAGTACCGAAATGTGTGTATCGAAATGTATTATATTTAACTAATGTATTTAAATATTAGTACTGAAATGTATGCATCGAAATATATGCACCAAAATGTATTATATTAATTAATGCACCTAAATGTGTGTACCGAAATATTAGCACCGAAATGTATGATATTTAACTAATGTGTTTAAATGTTAGAACTGAAATATATTATATTAAATTAATGTACCTAAATGTGTGTACCAAAATGTATGCATCGAAATGTTAGTACCGAAATGTTTTATATTGAATTATTGTACCTAAATGTTTGTATCGAAATGTATGTACTGAAATATGTGAATCTAAATGTATGCATTGAAATGTATTATAATAAATTTAATGTACCTAAATGAAAAAGACAAAGTACATCGAAATATATTGTATAACAAAAATTAATTTATCTAAATGTTTACAACAAAATATATTACGATAAATGAAATGAAAATGAAAATTATAGTGAAATAAATTAATACATTAAAAATTAGGAAGAAAAAGAGAAATAATTAAAAAAAATAAAATATAATTAATAAATGAGGTTATTAATGTATCGAGTGACAAAAATTAGATTTTGATCTTATTCATGGTTTTAGTCTAAAAATCATCTTTGCCAAGGATTAAAATCTAGTTTTCTATAGGGGTCTTTGAACTTTAATCCTTCAAGAAGATTAAAATTTAATAAAAACCTGGTGTTAGATTGAATATTGATTTTAGTATGTACTGAATTCAAATTCATATTATATTTTTGTTTTTATATTTAATAGATAACTTATTTAATGTTGTTACATTAAATTTTAAATTCATTATTATACACATTTTAATTCACTAATTGTATTTAACTTAATGAATTTTATTTAACTTTATTTGATTAATGTACCTAAACTTTTGTATCATAATATATTTTACTAAATTAATGTACCGAAATGTTTGTACCTAAATATATTGTAGTGAATTAGTGACACATAAGAAAATATGTAAAAACATAAGTAAATAAAAAATTCCGTACCTAACTATATGATGCTAAACTAGTGTACCGAAATGTTGGTACCTAAATATATTATACTAAACTAGTTTACCGAAATGTCCGTACCTAAACATATTATACTAATCCAATGTACCTTCGTACCTAAATATATTGTAATGAATTAGTGGCAGATAAGAAAATATGCAAAAACATAAGTGTGCCAAAAAATCTCTACGAAAATATTTTCTTATATAAGATGTTACCATAATGAGAATTAAAATTTATAATATTTTCATGAAATTTAAATTCATAAAATTATAAATAAAACAAGAGACATTGAATATATGCTGGCATTAAATAGAGTCTAAGAACTAAAATCAATTTTTAATCTTGTATAAGACACTTTTCTAAACTTCATCTTATTTAGAGATTAAAATCTAGTTTTCTAATTTAAAAGACACTTTCAATTAGCTTGAGAACATTATGAGAATAGAAATTACCGATCTCCTAAAACCATTCCTCCCAAAGACGCAACATCTCTAAGAGCTCTTCTCCACAACTCCACCTTGTCCATCTCCTCCGTACTGAATCGCTTCTCATGTCTGGCAAATGCTTCAGCAAAAGAACCACTCTGCTTCCTGACATCAGATGGATCCACATCATAGAAAACTGGCAGAACCACATGTCTACGATCAGTATTTCTACGTTCCACGATCTTCAAAAGTTCGTTCAAACACCACCTTGAGGAAGCATAGTCCTTGGAGAAGACAATTATCGATACTTGTGACTCCTGTATCGCCTTCTCTAACTCCGACTCAATCTTCTCCCCTCTCTTGATTTCATCATCGTCTCTAAACGTGTGGATTCCTGCTAGCTCCAAGGCTCTATAGAGGTGATCAGTAAAGCCCTTGCGCGTGTCCTGGCCTCTGAAACTCAAGAAGGCATGATAGGAACACCGGTAAGAGGACGAATAAGAATCTCGGAAAGCATCCATCTAGAGAAACTCTCTGCTTCTTGGTTCTTGCAATGACTGAATGCAGGGCACGAATATGCAAGGCCGAGGACAATTATATGCAGTTTCTGAGAGGGACATATATATGAAGAGGAAGGTTCCCATTAGCCACCAGGAATTCCACACTTACTGACGAGGAAGTTTCCTTGTAAGTGAATGGGATGTTGAGGTACAGAATTTGAGAGGAGTTTGACTATCAGCTTTGATGAAACTAGGACAAAAAAATGTTACGAGGTTGAGTGAAATTGTAAATACCATAAATTGTGAAGCATTCTACATGTAAATACCATAAATTGGGAGACCTTAAATTGCCCTTGAAAAGTGGGAGACCTTAAATTGTGGAGCATTCTACATGTAAATACCATAAATTGCCCTTGAAAACTTCAAAATTTACAATTAAATTAAGTACATTACATTTTACACCCTCAAGTTTGAGTGAAATTGTAACCTCATACAACATATTTAGAGCATTTCAATCTCACACACAAACTTGTATTTTATAGCAATTTCAAACATTCGTTCGTTAAACCGTTAATTTAACATTTTTTTTTCTTTTTTTTCAAACGTTAATTTGACTTTCGGGGTTAGGGTATTTTTGGGGGCATGTGGCTTGACGTGAAGGAGTCAAATTAGAAAGAAGATTGGTGTAGGGGACTAGTTCCACAAGACACGGTGGTTGTATGGAATGGGTGGTGCTGATGGAGAATGTAGGAAAGAAGGTGGAAATGCATGTGGTGTGCTCGGGTGGGAGAAGAGTGGGTGGGTCCCTTTTTACTTTGTTTATTATTTAGTTTTGTATTTAAATTGTTTTTATAATTAATTATTTTTATATGCCTAGTCTTTAAAATATGTGGTTCATGTATTTGCCAGTCATCACTTAACAGTAAATTGACGATTTGACTAACAAATATATAAAATTGCAATAAAATACAAATTTGTGTATAAAATTGAAATATTTTAAAGATGTTTGAGGTTGCAATTGCATCCAAACTTCACGGTGTAAATTGTAAATTGGTAGGTGTTTTATGATTGACAAATATATAAACAAATTAACTTAATTTTTTTTTTTTTAAATCGTAAAAAATTTTCTAATTTAACATACAAAGACTAATTATCGCACGCATAAATTTTGACAAGCGGCTAGTAAACACAAGAAAAATAAAGTACAGTAAATGAGAAAGAGTTAAACCTTACAGTTGACGAGTTAGCGGGAAGATTCTTAATAGCCACCAAGACACTTCACACTTATTGATGAGGAAGTTTCCCCGATGGATTAAGTCAATGGGTTGGTGAGGATAATACAGAATAGGAGTTTGACTATTAGGGGGGAGTTTGACGATCAGCTCCCATGATGAAATTAAACAAAGAGAAATGCCAAGGAAAATCTATCAGAGCAAGTTCAGTCCATTCAATCCGTGGTATCATTTTTTGTACATAATATTTGACACACGTTCTTGCAATACTTACTTCGTTATATATTTAAACGATCTGAAATGTTTATCACTTATTATTTTCTCAAAGACTATGTCTACCAAAAGATCATCTAAATCTGATCCATTTCTTCAAAGCTAGTCTATGAAGAGGCTCAGTGCTCACAGCTCAGTGGAAAGGAACTACCAAAGAAAATGTCATGCGACGCGAAGTAACGAGATTAACTCTAACAGAGGATGCAATTTTAGGGCAACATGAATTTACAAAACAGAGAAAAGTAATATGAACTCAGATTCTTCCCACTCGATGTGCAACAGCATGAAAAAGAAAAGAAGGTATGACTAATCTTGCAGAGTTTAATTTTGAAACCAAATGCGATAAACAAAAGAACCACATGTTTGCTATAAATCACTACACAAGATATAAACGAACGGGACAAGATATTTTAGATCATCCACTATTTGTGCAGCAAGTTAATCAAGTTTAGAAAATTTTCTTCTATTTTTGGAACCTATAAAACATAGCGACAAAGAAAGAGACCAAAGTGAATGATCTAGCGGTTGAAGCCAATTTCAAGAAAGGTACAAGCATACATAATTAGGAACCCAACTAAAGATAAATAAGTAAACTTACCAAGATCAACAATACTACAGGCATATCAGGACTTGATCTATAACAAAAACAAAACTTGTCATTCATGATGTGAGAGTGGTGTAGTTCAACTGTACAATTAACAGTCCCAACCGGAAAGTTTCAGACAACACAACATCATCACTGAAGCATGAGAGCACGTGAAATGTAAAGATCCAGCGAAATCCGACACCGAAAAAGATTAAGAAATAATACCTTGTCATATACGGTAATGAAGTAGTAACCATTGGGAGCACATTGAGTGCTATCCTTCAACAACCCATCAACTGTCCGAAGCTCAACCTAAAATCCCAAAATCAATTTGTTACTTGTTCGATATCCCGTATCTGGTTTAGATTAGTGACGAAAATGCAGTGAAATTTCAGGCACTAATTCCAAAAATTGTTTTACCGTGATCTGAGAATAATCCAATTTAGCATCGGTCGGCTTCCTGGCCTTGATCAGAGAAGAACTAGCCTGAGAGTTTACAGTGGCGATTACAGACTCGATCAGGTAAAAGGGTAGAATTCATTAACTCTAACAGTGAAAAAGATAAAATCTTTTACCTCGACGAAGCCGCCGCAGCCGTGGATTGAGTCGGCGAAAGTGGTAGAGAGAGAAGAGATTACGAGAAAGAAGAAGAAGAAGGCGGAGGCGTGGTCTTTGATGCCTCCCTCGTGTGAGTGTTTTTAGAGTTGCGAGACCTGATCTTCTTGGATGCAGACGGGGTTTAGTTTCAGCCATTGAGATTGATCCAACGGTAATCAATTAAATTGCTCCAGGTATCAAATAGGCAGCCGCTTGCTCGGTACCCCTTTTCCCTCCTTTCTTTCTCCACTCTTCTGCTGCAAAATCTCTCCTCATCCCTCTCACCTCTCCCTCTCTCTCTCACCTGTTCTTCTTCTCTCAGTCGTCAGGTACTCTCTCTCTATTTCTGGTCGCTCTCGTTGGCTGATATATAATTTTGTGACGTCTACCTCTAGATAACCAGAACCTGAAACGCAAATCCTTGTTCTTATTTTCCTTCTGTTTCTGTTTTTAAAATAATTATTAGTATGAACTTGTGAGCATATCTGGTGAGTTTCGAAACGCAACTGGTGATTGATGTGAGGAGTTTCTTATGTTAAATTCCTGTGGCAGTGCCAAGTAATTGATTTTGTTACTCACATTGCATTCAGATTTCTATCTTGTAGTTTCCTTTGTTTCAATCTTTATATATTTATCGGATACCGCAGTTGCTCATTTAGCTTTGTGTCTTTACATATTGGTTTTCGAAAGTTAAGTTCAAGTTTTTGTATCATTGATGTTAGTTAGACTGAATTTCGTATCTCATGTCTCCTATTGTTTCCAACTTTATATTTAATTGGAATTGGAACCACAGTTGCGATTGCCAAAGCCTTGAAGAATCTTACAAACTGTTTTTGGACATTTGAGAGTAATAGACTAGTACTGCGAATAGAGATCAATGATGTCCGAAGAGTGAAGAGTCGATTATAATTTTTGCTTCTCATAAAGATATATATATATATATATATATATTATAGAGTTCTATGTCTTTTGTATCGGAAACATGAAAGTCGTGGCATAAATGTTCCCACTGACTCTTTGTGCAATAATTGATAACGCGATCTTCGAAGTTCGGAATTTCATGAAAGTACAATGTGACAATCTGTTTTTTTCTGACTCGCCTTAAAATTGCTTCAATGCATCAAACTTTATCATCTGTTCAATTGAGTTTGATATATTTTTAAAGTTACCTTAGATGTCTATCTCTTATTGCCTTACAGATGGTCTGTTATACTCCCCGTAAGCTGGGTGGAGGCATTTTGGATTTCTCTTGTCTCTAAGGGGGCTCATGCAATGGGGTTGAGAGAGAAGCGCTGGATTTCATGTGAAGTAAGCATTGAAACTTATTATGTATAAATTATAATATTTAATATCAGTTTATTGAACGTTGCATTTAAGTCCCTTTTATTTTCTAGGTGGGGTTACCATATTTTCCTTCAGATTTTCCCGATTGCGATGCTTATTTATGCCTCAAGGAGACCGAAGCTGCTGCCTCTAATCTTAAAGAGGAACTTCGTCCTCCAGCCATAAGACCTTTGAGGGTTCCCATTTTATCCCCATGGAATAGTATCCGAGTTGCTTTAAACGAAGAATCTAATGCAGTTGGAAATGCTGAAAGTTTTAGGCAGCAACATGGCATCAGAAGCAATTCATCATCTAATTCAGACTCTCGAAATTCTGATGCTACATTAGCCGCCTGTCATGGAAATTCATTTGATGGTTTTATAGCACGGATGAGTTTTTCGCTGACAAATTTCTTGAGTGAAATTCAAGGCTGTCATTTACGTCTTATCCTTATGTCGCTGATAAGGAGACAAGTTTCACGAAGTTTATGAGGGATGAAATCAAGCTTGGTCCAGGCCAAGATCAGTTTACTAGATTTAAGAACAGTCATAAACTATTTTTTGTTAGAGTATTACTCCATGCTTACAAGGAAGGTTTTCTTGAAGAGGGAGCTGTAATTTGTGCACCTCGACTGACGGACATCACTGTGGACCAGGTAGTCGTTTTCTTTGATATCCTATAAGCTTATGGTTTATATGATATCCTATAAGCTTATGCTTGTATTACAACGGTGGTGCTTGAAATTTTCTCGTCTTTTATATACTAGTAGAGGAGATAATGTGACCTATTTACATTACGCCTCTTATTGAGAACCTGCATTAATGAAAACTTTCTGAGATTTAATGTAACCGTTGAAAATTTTAATCATGGGAGTGACTTGAAATTTTGCGGCTATTTTTGAAAGACTTTATACGTATTTTAGAGCACCATTCATGCTGCAGACCAATAATTTTGAAAAATAAGCTTCATGTGTGTGTCCTTCAGGTCAGAGAGTTTCGATGGAGGACTTCAATTGCCTCAATCTGCTGTGGCTTCGTACTTCGCAGAGCAATCTTCTGGTAAGTGGGAACTCCAAATGCCAGAGGACCCTGTTCTTAAAGAAACTTATCGTTCGTCAATAGGCTTTGTCACCACTGGTTTTGTTAGAGGGAGGTTAGTTCACAGCCTCTTGCCACTTTACAACGACCATCTTTTCTTTATATTTTGCTATGCATTCATAATTTTCCAAATTATTTTTTATGCAGCAAGAAGCCAGTAGCACAAGCTTTTTGGGAGGCAGTTGTACTCGCTTGTCTCAGAGAGGAACAATGGGATTTGGTGCCAGCTAAACGAAGACGAAGGGAAATATATGTTCTAGTCAGGAATTTGAGATCTTCAGCTTATAGACTTGCTCTTGCCACCATTGTTCTGGAGCATCAGGAAGAAGATGTCGAATTCTTGTGAGCAGCCGCAGAATATGTGGTTGGCTTGCATAGCACCACGAAACAATGTTGTTCAAAATTTACTTTTACTAAACCAAATAGCTCTAGGAAGCTTCATGTTTTTCGTGTCGCGGCAACATCAGTCATTTGTCACATAATACATATAACCTTTCATCTTTACAAACACTTAACCTTAGTTTGCGGTTTTTTGATTTCGAAGTAGCGTTAGTTGGCGATATTCTTGTGATCGTTGCCACTAATCTATGTAGTAAACTAAACATAGATTTGTGTAAAGAAGACCATGAACCTGTTCCCCAGTTCTCTGAAAAAATGACCTACCTGCACAATGCCCGTTACTATGAACAAAAAATAAAATCTAATCAATTTGTGAAGTTCTACCATTACTCTTATCTCCCCCGAAGCTTACTAAATGCGTGTCACGGAACCACGCAGGTAAGATTATATTCGGACTATGACATTACATGATAGACAATGATAAAACGAATGTGAGATTAAAAATGTAAGTTCCAATGCTCAGAGTCAATGAAAAGCATGTGCATTGAAGTGCAAAACATGTTTTGGTACCATAAACAGAAAAATCTATGCCTGCAGACTTACGTGTTGATACAATACCGATTGCATCAATCTGAAAATACTGAAAGCTCGAAAGATCCAACGCTAAAGATTCCCTTTATACAAGTTCAAGAACCGAAAAATATGTCGAAGTTCTAGGGAGCAGTCAATTCACTCGCGGAAACCTTTTGAAGCAAATTCTCAAGCTCGGGGCTTATTTCAATATGCTCTTCCTTCAATCTCTGACGCATCGCAGGTTCCAACTTACCAGCAGCTATGTAACGCTTCAGAATCTTGCAAAATTTCTCAGCAGCATCAGCATCCTTCTTGTCCTCAAAATACTTGAGAAATGCAATTTTGGCAGCTGGGGATGGATGCGATTCCCCATCCTTGCTTACCGAAACAGCAGCTCCCAAGTGGTTATCAGCCAAATCCACCTTACGGGTGTTCAAGGCGTGAACCATGAGCATTTCCCAAGCCTCGAGGAAAGACCCTTTACCTTTAGTCTTCTTACAGGTATTTGCAAATATCAATTCTGCTTCTTCGTGCATGCCCTGACTGAGTACCCGCGTATAGCAACATTTGCCAAACTCGTATCATATTTGGAGCAAATGGACTCCAATTCCTCAAACATTTGTCGTGATCATCTTGTAAAGGATCAAAACTTATCCTCAGAACTTTTTGAATTTTGTCATTAGGGATCACGTCTGACTTCTGCAATGCACTTTGCCATACTTCTACACTTTTTCCAGATAGAGAAGATCCCAGAACTTGAAGAGCTAATGGAAGCCCTCCACAGTGCTGTACCACATGTCTTGAAAGCTCCTTGTAACCTTCTACTGGATGGGATTGTCTGAAGGCATACCAACTGAAAACTTCAAGTGATTCATACTCATTCAATTCTCCAACCACAAACTTTTCAAAAACTTCATGCGCATTTAACAAATGCTCATGTCGAGTTGCTATGATAATTTTACTTCCTGGATGAAGCCACTCTCGCATTCCAAGAATTGCATTGAGTTGATCCCGGTTGCTCACATCATCAAGAACAATAAGAACCTTTTTATGGCCTACGGCTTGTTTGATCCTGATTGTTCCTTCATCCATATTGTATACTTTCTTAGCTTTCCCCTTTTGGATATCTGAAAGAAGTTTTCTTTGCAAGCGAGCAAAACCATTGGGTTGTTCTGAAGATTCTCGTATATCTGCAAGAAAGCTGCCACCTTGAAATCTATCAAAGTTGCGGTTATAAGCGGCTTTCGCGATAGTGCTCTTGCCAATTCCACCCATCCCACAGATGACAGCTACACCAACATCATTTGATCCATCTTGTTTAGGCGTCTCACACGATTATCCATTCCAACTGCAAAGTGAGCAACGTCTAAAGCTGGGGGATCCACTTTTTTTCTAATCTCTTCAACAATATCTTGGATGAACTGCCCCTCATACCTGTAATTCATTTGAATCGAAATATAGGACGCAGAAATAAGCATGAGAACGTATGAACCAAAATCGATAGGAACATATAAACCAAAATCGCAGTATATATAGGAGCATATAAACCAAAATCGAACAACTTCAAACTTCACTGCCATCTACAATTTTACTAAGGTTTTTTTAGCCCAAATGGACCATGAGATATATATGCATAACTCCTTACTTTGGTCCCTGAGATTTGAAATCGATAGAATTGGTCCATGAGTTTGTCCACAATCAATCGTGATTTTTCACTGAATGACCAAAACGATTGATTGTGGACAAACTCATGGATTAATTCTATCGATTTCAAATCTCAGCGATCAAAGTAAAGAGTTATGCATATCTCATGATTATTTTGGCTAAAAAAACCTTTTACTTATTTAAAAGACGCTTTCAATTAGCATGACAACATTATGAGAATAGAAATTACTGATCTCCTAAAACCATTCCTCCCAAAGATGCAACATCCCTAAGAGCTCTTCTCCACAGCTCCACCTTGTCCATCTCCTCATGTCTGGCAAATGCTTCAGCAAAATAACCACTCTGCTTCCTGACATCGGATGGATTCACATCATAGAAAACGGGTAGAAGCACATGTCTACGATCAGTATTTCTACGTTCCATGATCTTCAGAAGTTCGTTCAAACACCACCTTGAGGAAGCATAGTCCTTGGAGAAGACAATTATCGATACTTGCGACTCCTATATCGCCTTCTCTAACTCCGACTCAATATTCTCCCCTCTCTTGATTTCATCATCGTCTCTAAACGTGTGGATTCCTGCTAGCTCCAAGGCTCTATAGAGGTGATCAGTAAAACCCTTGCGCGTCTCCTGGCCTCTGAAACTCAAGAAGGCATGATAGGAACACCGGAAAGAGGAGGAAGAAGAATCTCAGAATGCATCCATGTAGAGAAACTCTCTGCTTCTTGGTTCTTGCAATGAATGAATGCAGGGCAAGCATATGCAAGGCCTAGGACAATTGTATGCAGTTTCTGAGAGGGACAAGTAGGACAAGACATATTCAACCCTTGCGATCTCTACAAGAATCTGAATGGGTGTCTGTCTTAATATTTGATAAAGACGAGGAGTTTGCGAGGGAATTTTAAAAATATAAAAAAGAAAAGTCACATCTAGTTAAAAGGAGATAAACCTTACCCCTAGTAAATCACGAAAAACAAAATATGGAAGTTGGAGAGGTGGTAGTTCGAAAGGGACAGGGAGGAGACAAGCATGGTGGATATGGGGAATAGAAAAGGTTTTTCTTTGATGCTTTGTATTTAAAAAAATAATAAATGACGATAAAATCTCTTACAATTCATCAAAACCCAAATCCATAACAATCCTCAAAATGTAAAGGTCATTTTAAAGAAAAATAAATAAATAAATAAAATAAAGTCACCTAGCCTGCGTAACCTTTGCCTAAGTGCTCTACCTAACATTTTCAACACCTGAAAATGAATCGTAGTATTGACTAGTTACCTAAGCCACTTTTTAGAACATAGAAAAAAATGTTTGATCTTGGCATAAACTAAAATTTGTGGGGTTTAAAATCAAACTCAAGTAAGCACAAATAGAACTATTAGCACTATTCTAAAAAATTGAGTCCTTAGACGTTTGAAAATTTAGAAAATGCGCTTACACCCGATTAGGTGTCCGCCTAGCCTACCTAAACCCGCAAAGGCACTCGCTTAGCCCATCTAAACCCGCTAAGGCATCCACCTAGATCGCGACTTTCACTTAAACAGAAAATCAATAACTTTCTTTTTGCATTCTATTTTGTTAGTAAAATATAAGAAATTTGTTGGATACTTGGATGAAAACTCATTATATGTTTGTTCCCCATGTTTTCAAAGTTGAACCATCTTTTGGTGTTCTTTAAGTATAAATAGGCACTTATTTATATAATATATAATAAATTTACTTAAATCCGCTTAGTCTGCCTAGGGCCCCGCCTAGTTGCCTAAGCGTTAGGCCCCAGTGTTGGAAATGTGCCCTAAAACCAATCATATGATGATACTTTACGGACATTTCAAACTAATGTAGTTTAAATGTAAAGGGCAAAGATTATTGTTTGAGCCGTCTCATATAAATGTTATATGCTTAAACGATAAGTCCAAGGAATATGTGATTGGAAGAATGCGATCTAAAGAAGTTAGATTCATGAGACCATTCTTTCGTTGACACATTCTAAACGTTCCTGATCATAGGATTGTCAATTGGGCATTGACAGTCCGTTAAGATCAGTACGTGCTATGTCTTCTCTCAGGGAGAGTGACTAGTCTCGAGTTATTGGTGTGTGTGACATCAAGACAAGTACGTAGGTGCTCAATAGAGAATGAGTTCACTGAACACGATCAACGAAGAGTTCTCATATTCATGTCACATGAGAACTCATGGTTGGGATAATGCAAATTAGTCTTTTGACCTGAGGCATCACAGTTGTCTTGTGGTTAGGTCCTTAATCTTTGATTATGTCAAAGTCACTCCATCAGAAGGGTGTCCACGGCATCGTTGGGGTTAAGCCACTTAGCCATGGAGGCAAGTGAATGCGCAACAAGGGATCTCTAACCTTCAAACTGTTTGAGGGAGAATACTCTATGATATGATTAAGAATCTTTGGCCAAAGTATGAATGAGATTTAGGAATGTGTTCCAAATCACATTCAAGGTAATCATATAAGCACAAGACTCACATTGGATAGTAGACATGAATAAACTATCAAACCAAACAATGTGGTCAAGAGTATTGTATTAGAGAAAGACCGTATTGCATTTGTAATCCTAAAACTGAATAGGTTCTCCACCTCTTCTGATTAGCTTGGGTAACCATGACATGCTGCTAGGCGTCAACCATGGTTTGTGGAAACCCTAAAAGTGTATTATCACTAACGAGAGAATTGAAAGTAAGTTTCAATTCACAATCGATTTGAAAGAGTTTGAATCGCCCACTGCCTCGCTAAAAGGAACCTAA